ATAGACTATGTATTTCTTTAGCCGTGTTTACGTGTATTCTTTATTTGGCTCTGTGTTGTTAATCTATGTTGCTCGGACTCTCCAAAAGTGCTGCCGCACCCGTGTCGGATCCTCCAAATTCGGATCCTCCAAAAATGCACTAAATTTGGAGGATCCGACACGCACCCAACAACTTTTTTGAAGAGTCCGAGTAACATAGTTGTTAATAACCAAGTAATGAGTTGGAGAACTAATACGAGACAGTTGACATTGGAAAACTAGAAAGTGATAATGAAGTACATTTACTAATATGAAATAGGTTGATAGTTGATCAAGTAGAGACAGATCTAATATTATAATGGGAGCAAAACAAAGAATCATAGTTATCTGATCAATTTTCAGACTTATGTATTCAAATATAAGCCTCTCTACCCCTCGGGGTAGGGGTAAGCTCTGCGTACACTCTACCCTCCCCAGATCCCACTAGTGAGATTATTACTGGGTTGTTGTTGTTGTTGTTGTTATTGTTGTATGTATTCAAATATAAAGTGATGTTCATAAAACAACGAATATAAGCAAAACTTTATAGCTGGAACCTTTTACTTTGTTAATTTTGACCAATGGAAAGAAAAAATCTGAATACTATTTTGTAACATCAATATCCATGGGAACTGTGTTAAATCCCTTTGCTCTTCATAATTAGGTTGTAGAACCTGACAGATAAAGAGGCATGCTATTCTCTAGAATGATGTGTTGAGAAGCAACACGACAATTGCTATAAGTAATGTCCATAGAGGAACATGCTTTATGGAGTAAAGTCATAACAGTGAAATACTGTGAGGAGCTGGGGAATGGAGAAGCGATCGCATCATGATGCCACATGGAACTGCCTTACGCGAAGAGTTGGCAGACTTCTGTTAAAACATGTAAATTGAAGTGGGTGGGGGCAAGAGTTAACTTTCGGAAGCAAAGATTATCTGATGACTCCCTTTATGTGAGGCTTTCCCGATAATCATCAACATGTCATGCCAACAAGGAGAAAGCACACCATGAGATCCTTATTAAAAGATTACAAAAATCATTTCAGGAAAAAAGTTCAATCCTTCACTTATGGCTATAGGAAATTAATAGAGGTTGATCTTGTCTTTTTGTTTGTGGTCTTTTTATTTGCTTGTTATGAAGGGGAGCCTTGGCGCAACCGCGCATAGTGGGAGCTTAGTGCACCGGACTGCCCTTTTATTTGTTTGTTTATATGGACTCCGAAGAATTGTGTGGTTACCTAATATAAAAGCTATAGTTTTTACTATTTTTGTTATTGGACCAAGCTTGTGAAATGGATTGCGGTGAGACTTGAACTTACAACCTCTGCATGCGCTCTGATACCATGATGGATTGTGTGACTACCTCATCTGAGTGTTTAAGTTGTTATAGACAGTATACTAGACAAGAGGTTGTGAGTTCGAATCACCCCAAGAGCAAGGTGGGGAGTTTTTGGAGGGAAGGATGCCGAGGGTCTATTGGAAACAGCCTCTCTACCTCATTGTAGGGGTAAGGTATGCGTACACACTACCCTCCCCAGACCCCACTAGTGGGATTATACTGGGTTGTTGTTGTATACTTTTTTTAAAGATTTATTTACAAACTCTTTAGGTCATTGCTAATGTTATTGAACAGTTCACCTTTTGTCTGTATTTCGAGTTACTATTTAGTCATTTTAACTTTAATGGGCTTACTGATTTGCAGGTTAAAAATAGTAGGGATGATGCTCTTAAATGTACCCATTATATGCCTCTTATTCGTCCAGAAGGAAAGCCACTGCCTTGTGTGATTTACTGTCATGGAAACAGGTTAGTGAAGGTTAAGTAGTACTCTTCCTGTTTTTACGCTAGAAAATTACTGTACTTTTCCTTTGATGCAGCGATTATACGGAGAAGAACTTTTTTATTTATTTATATTTTGACTTCATTTAATAGTTTTCTTTGCTAAAAAGTTGTTTTGGATGATCCTTTGGCAGCGGATGTAGAGCAGATGCCAGTGAAGCTGCTATTATATTATTGCCACTAAACATAACTGTTTTCACCCTTGACTTCTCTGGATCTGGAATTTCTGGAGGCGAGCACGTTACATTGGGGTGGAATGAAGTGAGTAGCTGATTATTCTATTTGAGATTCAAATGAAAGCTTAGACCTGTTGATAAGTTATTGGATAAATGCTGCCTGTGCCTATTCTATCTTAAAATACTTTAGAGAAGGTGATTAGTTGTTAAGTCTAAAGC